GAGAGAGAGAGAGAATTTCAAATTTAAAAATAATAGATATTGTAACAAGTTATCTAGATCGTCAATTTTCAAATATTTATAAATCTACTCAATTTATACATTTAAAATTTTAAAATTTTACAACTGAGGATGAAAATAAATTCTAATCATCATAAAACGTTTGACACCAAAATTATATCTCTATGATGCATCCTAGTTTTAGAGTATATACAAAGAAACACCTTATATAAAAACCTCACCCTATGTGTGGCTTGTATAAGGTGTTTGCCTCAAGCAATTAAAGTAGGGTGCATCTCCAAATTATATCAAAACATGCAGCTGTGAAAAACCTCTAGTTGACACGAAAATCTATTTGTGCATCTAATTATGCAATTTAAAACTCCTAAAACAATGCAAATCAATCAAGATATACAAAGGAAGTGTCTACAAAGAGATTATTTATGTTTTGTACATCGATGTCACAATCATTCTACTCCCTTATCTACTCCCTTAAATTTTAAATTGAGAGGTTATAAGAGTGTCACTAAATATATACAAAAATTTTAAAATTAATTTTCTCTTACTTGCTACGCACCCTAAGCCATCCAATTTGACATTTAATAAGTAGTAATAATTATGATTTTTTTTAATATATAGACAATTCCCATATATCAATACTTGAAAGGGATTGTGTGCAATGAGACCATTTACCTTTGATACATGAATATCACAATTACTTATAACCATTCGATGTGATAGCTTGGGTGTGTCACAAAGTTTGCAAAAATTTCTTTTGAAGTATGAGTTTAATCAATTAAATAAATGCAACCACCCAATTTCTCATCCAATGATCATTATTAATTGTGATCCCTTTAACTTTAGAAGGGGCCGTCTAAAATAATACTTTACAACATACATTATTTTCATAATTTGAGTTCATTTTTTTCAAGGTTGCAACCTTAAACAATCCAATTAAGACGCAGTTCCAAATTTTATTATAACATGCAATTTTGATTAAAATCTTCTTAAGATTATGTGAACATCTATTTTTTTAAAACTTCAAAAATTGTTAAAATAAAAAATAATTAAAATCTTAAAAATATAAGGTCTAGATAATTTGTTGCAAAATGAACTATTTAAGACTCCTTTTTTTTTTTTTATATTCATACATCTCCATGTCGTAATTCATATTTCAAATTTTCAACATTCAAACAATATTTGTCCGATGGATTTTTGAACAATATTTGTCCGATGGATTTTTGAACAATATTTGTCCGATGGATTTTTGAGGTGAATATGTAATTCTACATTTTAAGTTTGCAACCTTATATAAACTTTTTCGTTGGATCCATGCATTTGCAGGATTTTCGATTTGCAATCACAAAGACGGCGGAAACTGAGAACTGGGGTAGCTTCTGGTCCAGGGGGGGGGGTAGAGAGAGAGAGAGAGAGAGAGAGAGAGAGAGAGTAGGGG